GAGTAATAGCAGTGAAATTTTGAAAACAGTGGAAATACAATATGTCTAACGTAGAGTGCTCAAAATAATCAACGAAACGCTAAGTATGACTACAATTTTATATGTAACCTTATACAATACACCATTAGTATCTACAATACACCACAAGTATCTATTAGGGTTTATAGTAAAATAAAAAGCATATTTTAATTTCTAAAGGTGGTTTTTGTTCTTGCATTTGAAAACTGTAATAAATGTTACTGTCGTTTCTCCTCTTATTTTAGTGTGGAGGATAAAGAACATAAATACGCGTTTGATTAGTTTAAACATATTATTAACATTATATGGACATATTCTGATTTTTCTTAAGCAAAAATCCTTAATTTAAATGGAGACTAACATATTGATGTTACGACAGTTCAGTTTTATGAAAATGTATCACGGAATCTTATATGATTGTTGAAATATTCCATGTATATAAGACATAAACTAATGATATAAATAAGTATAACGTCTAACAAGACAATAAAACATTCACGTCAAATATTGAGAAGATCGAAGACAATACACAAAATGTACGAGGTCTTTCCCAAAAATATCTGACAATCGTTCATAACTTCACGTCAAAACGTTCCAGCGCCCTCTGTGGAGTACGAGCGTAATCAGTAACCTTTCGCGAACTTGCCGTATACCGCAGTGACTAACGCGAAGTATCTACTTCGTAATAGAATATAGAAGGTTTCAGACGTGTTCCTCTTGTATTTTTTGCGTTCGTTGCATTTTGTAATTGCTAAAAACGATAGGGTTATGCGAACAACAAACTTATGTTTTCTTTCTCTTGATGTCACCCAATATGAAGATTCTTCAAATTTATAATAATTTTTAAACTGTTTCTCCTTTGTCTCATGTTGTATAAATGTATCGGTTAGTTAAGTTTATGACATTCACCATATTGTTGGATAGCCTGAAGATGCTATAGGAGCGAAAGTACTTGAGCAAAATTTAATACAAACTGTGCTCGATATCTGCCTTTTATTTAATTAAAGTTCATTTATTCGATGACAAACAAAAGTTTGTATTTTGAGAACGATTTCCGAAGTGGAAATTGAAACGTCAATAAACGTATTTTTATCTTTAATTGTGGCTTATTCCCAGTTAAATAGTAATTAATTTAAAATGCCACAAGAAAATAGCTTCAAAACAATATTAAGATAACGTTTTTATGTTTAAAATTTAATAAAAAATGAAATTTTCCGAACGAAATACAATTTCATCAAAACGTTGTTAGGGTTAAATGTTGACTTAATTATTCATCTTATCTTAACCATTAATTTGTTTACAAAAACCATAGCCACATTCCACAAGTAATTTGCAAGATAATTTTAATATAAAGATCATTTTATTTACTTTACTTTAATTTAAAGCAATATAATTTAAATTTGGTACAAGCCAAAACCCATAGTGGGTGTTATTAATTAAAAATAAACTATCACTTGTCTTTGTAGACCTTGTCAATTTAAATAAATTTCACTTCCTGATCCACCACTTCAATTGGCTGGTATCTTTCCTAAGACTCACATGTGGAGGGCTCAGAAACCAATAGACATTTTTCACTAACAATTCAGTTACGTATTGAAGATTCCTTCTAACAGTTAAAACTTTCTATTTTGTAAGTTAGCTAACAATACGAAGCAGAAGATTTATCTTCGTGGACTGATTCATAATAGCTCTCTGTTCAAAAACTACGCGTCAAAAATGGATCAAGAGCGCCAAGAATAAAATCAGTAAAGTATTACTTAATTACTACAGTCATGTCCATTTGTATGTGTAAGAAATTTTTTGAAGATACCTTTCAAGTAAGTGAGGGGCGTATCTATAAATTGTCTTGTAGTACGAGGCCAGCTTCTTGTATAGACAAAAGAGGTCACAAAGAACCAACCAATAAAATTGATTTCACGAAAGTCGAGAAACACATCAAGTCATTTCCTTGCTATAAGAGCCATTATACACTTTGTGATGCTCTAGATATAAAATATTTAAATCCAGATTTAAATATTAGAACCCGTCCAAGAAAAAATGTATTACATTTTCTCATCAAATTTTAATCTTCACTTCAAACCTCCATCTAAAGATACCTGTCAGTTGTGCGATTCTTTGCAAAATATCATCAGATTTGGGAATAACGACGAAGATATACAGAAAGCAAAAACCGATAAAGAAATTCATCTCAGAAAGGCAAAACTAGCGAGAGATTCGCTTAACAAAGATAAAAATTTAGCTGATGAAAACATTTATGTTCTTACACTCGATCTACAAAAAACTTTGCTTTCCCAAACTAAGCACATATGTTGCTTATTATTTGGAAATTCTACAATTTGGAAATTCATAGTTTCAACGACAAACAGACATGTTTATGTGGGACGAAACGGAGTGATCTCGAGGTTCACAAGAAGTTGCCTCCTGTCTGACAAAACATTTAAAAATGTATGCAGGAAATTGTAATATCATTTTACATTCGGACTGTTGTACAGGCCAAAACCGAAATATTAAACTAAACTAAAGCTAAACTAAACTAAATATTAAACTAAACTGTTAACTGAAACTAAAATATTAAAGTCTATCACTGCTCAAACTCGTACAAGACCCTGAAATGAACGCTACTTCAATCAACCATAAATTTCTCACCTCAGATCATAGCTACCTTCCGAATGATGCAGATTTTTGAGTTATTGAGTCAAAGTCAAAGAATAAAGAGTTTATTTATGGTCCTTAACTTAAGATTGGATCAATTTAGTTTTCACTGATAAGAAGACTAATCCATTTCAAATAATTTGAAATGAAACCTGAAGAATTTCTTTCTACAAGAATGTTGGAAAACAGCATCATTAATAGAAAAATCGATAATACAGGGGGAAAAGTTGACTGGTGAATATAAAATGACTTCGATATTCCAAAAATAAACCGGAATCTATTTTCTATAAAGAAACACTGCGATAAGATTTTTCATTTAACACGATCAACATTGCAAAAAAGTTCACAAAGGGAAGACCATTTAAGTTCTTTAATATTGTTCAGGATCAACTCTACCCAAATCTTAGACCTGTAAAAAAACTTAAAAAATAGACACATGTTTGATTTGCTTTCTTACATTACACTGCACTACCATAACTTTTATAAAGATTTGTAAGTAGTAGAAATGGCTAAACCTCGAGCTTTAACTTCAATGATCGGCTAATTTGAGTCTAATAATGACAGTCACAATTCCTATAATTAGATAGACAACTGCTTTTCCGTTATTTTATTTTTAGTTCAGTGGACACTTAGCATAAATCATTGTTTCCTTCTTTAAATATATCAAAAAAGAAAAAAGCTTTTTATTTTCATTAACTGTTTTATATTTAAGGTTATCAGTATGTTACCTTTCAATAAAAATTATTATTAGCACTTATATGTGAGTCGTTATTATATTACAAGTTTTGAAATAAAGTAAATTTTCTCAGTTTTTATATTTAGTGACTTACACTGATTGGCTTCTGAGCCCTCCATGTTATCCTCATTTCGTGTAGGGCTCCCTTAATGTCTCGTAATATCGATCTCATATCGCATTAATTTTAATTTTAGGACATTTGAAATATAATATGAGATTACACCTTTTAAAGTGGCTAGTTTCAATTGCTCACTATGTAATTATTTACCACATGTTTTTTTCAGATTAAAAGTAAACATTTAACCCTTTTTTATTCATTATATTAATGTTAAAATACATATTTTAGATGTTCACTGATTGTGGTGTAATAAGACTGAAAACTTTCTGATGAAATTGAAATCCGTTTGGAAAATTGCATTTTATATTTTATTTTTATCCCATTTTACAATACTTCTTCTTAACGTGCCCTATCAAGTCCCCTTGACGTTGGCGATTAACATGGCGAAACTGTCTCTGTCTCGAGCTATTCTAAATAGTTGCTCAGCTTTCTTTATTCCTGTCCATACTACCCTGGTAGTTTACAATACTACCCTGTTTAAACAAAACACATGGTGTAAAGCGTTCGAGGAACGTATGAACTTAAAATATTATACAGCATCTGAAGATATGCCATTAACGCTAAGTTATGTTCTTTATACTCTACAAGATAGACAACTGTATCACACCTATATTCAAAGAATTGCTATATTAAAAATAGGTAAAGAAATAATAAATCAGACTTACTCACAATCAATTTAATTTAACTATCCGACGACCGGTTTCGCTTTCTACAATATGCAAAGCATCTTCAGGTCTCGGTACAAAGTTAAACAAATGCTGAAATGATAAAAACCCATATTAGGGTGTTGTCTAATAAAGATAAAACATTAGATGTTATAAATTACAATAATTATGCCAATATTACCTGTCTGTGGTTTTATTTAAATTATTGAATTGAAAAAGGTATAAATATTTTTAAAAAAGTTAAAAGGACAAGGTAAGGCCCACAAGTTGTCTTGTATTTATTCCAATAGAAGAGATTTTATGACAACTTGTGGGCCTTACCTTGTCCTTTTAACTTTTTTTAAAAATATTTATACCTTTTTCAATTCAATAATTTAAATAAAACCACAGACAGGTAATATTGGCATAATTATTGTAATTTATAACATCTAATGTTTTATCTTTATTAGACAACACCCTAATATGGGTTTTTATCATTTCAGCATTTGTTTAACTTTGTACCGAGACCTGAAGATGCTTTGCATATTGTAGAAAGCGAAACCGGTCGTCGGATAGTTAAATTAAATTGATTGTGAGTAAGTCTGATTTATTATTTCTTTACCTATTTGAAATGGACTCACACAAGCAACAAATTCATGATTTGCTATATTAAACTATTATAACATTTAATTTTGATATGTTTTCATTTACATTTCAAAATATGTATAAAAATTTTAATAAATTAAAGATAACCTGATCCAAGGGGAACTAACTTACGTGTTAGTAATATACTTGTATAGTGTTACAATAAAAGACTAGATGTAATTATTTTGAGCAGTGTATTGTTAAATAAAAGTAAATGGTTGGCAGTTAAAACATGTGTAACTAGTTTGAAAGACTGGCAACAGAGACTTATATCACAAATGGATGAATTGATTCAAATAAATGACACATTGTTTGTCAAACCATCAGCAAGATTAAAATTTCAGATGCATCTACATATTACAATTATCAATAATATTTTTTAAATGGTACAAATCAGTATTTTACAAAAAAAAACAATAATCCTTCTCGTAATCATATATCACTAACCAAAAAATTGTACAAAATAACACACACATATCTTCTTACCTGAAGGGCACTTGAAAAAATAATATTTTGAAAACTAGTCAAATATTAATATTGACACCTCGAATCAACATGAATGACTTCAAAAGCACTAAAAATAATAATCTCTAATTTAAAAAATTTTAACGATCCAACATTGGATAAGACGAAAGGAAAATTAATATTGATCATTCGATGTGTGAAAAGAAAACAAAGTAAAAAAAAATGAGGTTATATACAAATAGTTCAAGACGATTGTTCCTGGCCGTTGTTTTCTTGTGATTTCATAACATCTGGTAGATCTGGAGGGGCTGAATATGGTATTAAGTCAAGTGGTTCAAAATCGCCTTTAACATCTCTGTAATACACAAAAAAATATATATTTAATTTTTTTAAATTGAATTAACATGTCTCGATTACAATGATCATTGACACAGGTACAAAAAATATTAGGTATACATACATAAATTATTAAGCAATAGGATAACAGAATATAACAATTAATGATTTACAGTAGAGGTAATGAATTTTTGTCAAAATCCAATACATTAATATTATAATTACATATCTTCGATTCTAAAATATTGTAAAAGACTTTAAAGAGTATGAGTAAGAAAAGAGATATTTAGTTATATTCTTTGTGGCATTTTCAAGGTCATAGCTGTTCCCAAAATCCATTACCTATACATAAGTATTTATATTTTATTCAAAATATTCATATTCTGAAGGTAGCTTATGGTGTGGTGTGCATCAGTTGGTGAATTTAGTGCACCATTCAGGTTACTGAGTCCATGAAGTCATTGTTCATGTTGGTATTTTCTACAATCGAAGAGGATATTTTTAACTGACAGCTGACATTTGCAATATTGACATATAGGGCTGGTTCAGAAGCCATTAAGTACCCCTGTGTTAGTCTGGTATGCCTAATTCTTAGCCTTCTGAGTACTGTGTTTAATTTTCAACACTTTTCGGTGGTTTTTAATGTACCAATATTTGGTTGGATTTATTACAATTTCGAAGCCAGCCTATTCCAATGACGTTTTAGATTTATATATTTTATATTTGAACATTTTCAGGATTACTAGTTGATGATAGTGCTGATATGGCTGCGGCATTTTGTTCTTTCATTACCTGAAGACTCCCCTACACGGGAGGGTACCCAGATGATTGTCAGGAAGACTCCTTGGGGGTCAGTAAGTTGACTGAGTAATGGATGGTTTAAACACCTTGGATGTCTGGTGAAAATATTTTTTATTGAGTTAATAGATGTTAAGGAGTCAGTGCAGATTGCTAGAGTGGCATGACTATGCATAAGAGAGTTTATAGTGTGAAGTATTCCTACTAATTCAGCTGCATGAATGCTACAAACAAAATGATGGATGTGTCAATGTTTTGATGATGTCTGTTAATGTTCGGACTGCACAACTACCTTCATCATCATTTTTTATAGCCATCAATGTAGATTATTTGATCAAAGTGTAATTTGCTAACAATATCCATGAAAATTTGTTAGAGAATTAACAGATGTGTTTCATGCTTGAGATATTGACTTGCGATAGAATATATTTTCGGGACACTTTTATGCCAAGGAGGAATAGAGGAGATCTTATTGGGGGACATAGCTGTCTATATTTTGTGAGAGCGATAAGAGTAGCTGTTGAATCATTGGTAGCTTCTTCTTCTAGTTCCATGACCGTTATCGATCTTTGGATATCATGTTGGCTACCACAATCGCTATCGTGACTTTATTGACAGCAGCTCTAAATAACGATGTAGTTGATTTTCCATACCATTGCCTTAGATTTTTCAGCCATGATGTTCTTCATCCACCAGGACCACAATTACCTTGGATCTTTCCCTGAATGATCAGATGTAAAAGATCATATTTTTCAGGGTGTCTCATAATGTGACTGAAGTATTCCAGCTTGCGTTTCTTTATTATATTGACCAGTTGGTAGTTTGCCTGAAGTATATTTCATTATTTAAAAATAAGGATAAGGATGTTGTCGATACTATTCAGCGTATTCCAATACCTACTAATTCAAGCACAAGGAGTACACAGATATTGGCACATAATACATACAAAACGTTAAAACAAAGTTTGGCTGTCACTACATATGTTTGCTTTGGCATTAGATGAGTCATGCGCCATTACAGATGCAGCACAGCTTGTAATTTTTGCAGCGTACCTGGACAGAACCAGTGAAGAGTTTGTTGAAGAACTTTTGACTATTTTAATAATATCAGGAACTACTACAGGAGATGATTTACACAAGGCTGTGGTGGACTATTTTGACAAGGATGGTTCAGATTTAAAAAAAGTTATTTTGATCACTACGGATGGCGCTGCTGCAGTGACGGTTGGGTGTAGAAAAGTCTTGGTTCAGCAACTAAGTAGCGATTCTATGTGCAATAAAAATCTAATATTGTATCATTGTATTATTTATCAAAGTTGTGTTGCAGTTTAAATCCAATTCTTCACAGTAAAATGCAAACTGTCATGAATATAGTGAACTTTGTACGTGCAAAATCATCATTGAGGCATCGTCAATTCAACATTTAGTGCTTAAAAGATTCTTTGCAATACTTGGAAAATAAAAGAATTTCTGTCCACTATTAATAATGAAGCTGCAAATGACCATTTGGGCTTCCTCTTGGACACAGAAAATGTTACAACTATTGCATTTTTGGCAGATATCTTCAGACATCTGAACTTCTTGAATTTAAAACTACAACGCAAGGGAACACTTGTTTGTGAACTTTTGTCAGATATTAGAAGAGATTTTTTAACAAGAGTTTTTCACTCAAGCCTAATGGTGTACGGACCAGTGAAGAATGTAAAGTAAAGTAAACAAACGCTATTTAAAGTAACCTATTACTAACATTTAAAATAGGTTTAGATATATTCCATAAAATTGATAAACACTGTAGATATGCAGAAAAAAAGCAACCAGAAACAGTATCATTAAACAATTAAATTAAGCTCAGTTCAATTAAGATACAAATATTTTAAATTAAGCGGCAAAAATTTATTAAACAAAGACGGGAGAAAAAACAATACAATAACTTCATAATCATTATAGACCTGCCTAAAGAGGTAGCCTAGTTGCCTAGTGTTTTAACTATGTAACAGGGATGATCTCCTAAGGGAGGAGGTTACAAGCACTGAAGGGTTTTTGGGTAAACTTTTGGTTACTGAGTGGCGTAACAGTTACGCCACTGCCTGGTTTAATGCTAAGTGTCTGGATCGCAGAAGTGTAGTAGTTTTTTTAAACAGACCCTCAGGAAATATAAGATCCTCAGAGATATAATTAGTGACCCCTGGTATAGTGCACTGACTGTTGGACAATTAAAAATAAACAATGAATGCATGTTATAGAGAAGGTAGTGCTTTGGTACTTAGAATGAAGTGACAAAAAATTAAAAATATGTTTAAATGAGTATTTTGAAGTGCATACAATTCTAGGGTTTACATGTTTAATGAGATGGTGGAAGTTTCATCCTTTTTTAAACACAGACTGAACAAAGTCTTATTAATTTACTTTCCTATTAATATTATTAAGTTATCTAATAATATATAATCATTACCTCAATGAAGCCAATAAGAAGAATAATAATTGCTGAATGTTAAGTTTCTGGAAGGAGAAGTAAGTAAAATAAGCGCTGGTAGGATATGGCTAGACAAAATATTTTGAAGATTATTAATATTGACATAGTACAGGATAGAAAGATGTAGAGAAATATAATTGGTGAAGTTGACCTTCATATGGATAAAGGTAAAAATTATTATCAAGATAGGGGTCCAAAAAATAGGAAGAAAACATCCATAACAAAGGATAGGGTGGTACTTTATTTATCTGTAAATTAAATGTAACAGATAAGAGCTTACCTTATAGCAAGTCCAACTGTAGCAGGGCTCTGGGCTTTGGCAGTTGTAGAAGTGAGACCATAATCTGATAATAGCATTGAGTCTTCCATAATTGTATTGTCTTTATTAAATAGTTGCTGGTTTTGGGGAGGAACCTTCAATATACCTAAAACAAACAAATATAATACAATTGGCAATGAAATTAAAAATATTCCAAAAATAAATTGTAATCACTGTATTATTGATATCTAGAAACATTTTTTTAAATAAAGTCGCACATTTAGATTACAGTAAAAAAGTTAAAATTCTGCAAATCATTGTTAAATGATCTGATAAAACAGTTAGAACATCTATATTTAACAGCTAAAGCACATAGATCATAACATTGTCCACTTCTGAAATTTGATAGTTGTTTACCTTCAATAATTTTTTTGAGTTCTAAAACCGTGGTCGTATCCTTAGCATCGGTGAAAATCGTTAGCTTTTTTCTTCTTATCATTAAGAAGACATCCTAAAAATGATAAAACAAAAACTGAAATCATCCTAAGCTGGTGGTTTTTCAGTTTTAGGTTAAGGATTACAAGAGGTGTACAATTTAAAACACAACTATTTTAAGTTTACTTGAAGGTGTCTAAATTTACTTACCATTGTGTGGAGTTGGTATTTGTATTTATTTTGGGACAAAATATGTTTTGTTTATTGCAGTCATTAATTTATTTAACCTAAACAAGTCAACGAGACGGATATAAATGCGCGGCACAGGATGACAGAAATGATTATGACCACAGAGATATATGACAGTTGACATGAGACGTATCTAATTTACAAATAAATTTTATTCGTAGAAAAATTTCCAAATTATCTGTTTTACTGAAATTTAGAAAAATGAAAGAAATATAAAACTGATTAAAAGCATTTTAAACATAATGTATTTCAATAATATTTATGTCTAACAACTTCACAGATTAGTTGTCACTAATCACTGTTTATTAGATATAGTTATTCTTCGCAAGGTGGCACCAGCATCAATAAAATTTAAATATGATAAATAGGTAATTTCAATACAATCTTTTATTTTCTTTTTACTTATTATATTATTTTAATCGTATTTAGGTATTCATATTAACATAACTAATTTACCAAATTTAATATATAATTTCTTTATATTAAAGTCTATTTTTTCAAGATTTAACATCCACATCTAATTAAACTTTTAATAGTTGAAGATTATAAGGTATAGTTATTTATTATAATAAAAATTACACGTATAAGCGGAATGTAGATCAAAAAATAAAAATGCCATTAGTGTAATTATGAGTTTGCGTTTCTAATTAATTGAAAAATTGATGCTGCTGAAAACAAGGAACAAATTAGAGGAAACAGCATCAATTACAAAGTTACTTTTTTGTTGATTCATTACTTAAAAAAACAGTGGTGTAACAAAAAAGTGTTTAAATTTATTTTTGCGTTATTTAAAGTTTTATTCTGGAAAAAGCAATATTAATAAATATTACAAATAGTGCGTAGACTTAACCCATTCAATTTAGTAGGTAAAATAATAAAGAAAGCTCTCTTAACTGAGCCATAATGGCTGTAACAGAGGATAGAATGCTTATTAAGAAAAGTTTTAGCAGTTGGGGGAAGGTGGTACACAGTGAGACAAAAAATTATGTAATGTTTATGACGTTACGACTGACGTGTCTTTTTTCTCCACGAAAGCAATATCAGGAACAGTGGGAAATACGAAACACGAGGCACATATTTTGTTGACTTTGCACATAAAATTGACCTCTACTTCTGAATTGTTGCACGATACAACAAGTCCCACGTAAAATATATTTTTGGACTTTTCTTTTGAATCTTACTAAAACATAGCCACCCCATACAGGGTCACGATTGCAGTCAAATGTTTCATCGTCCACTGGTCCTATCCAAGAATATAATCTTTATCGCCACTATCTCCCAAATTAAAAACTGGTTCACTTTCATCCGAAGAATTCTCAATATACATAACACGTGTAACTGTCTGTTTCATTGTCGAAGAAACCAACTTTGGTAGTTCTAGATGGTGTTTCGGGACTTGGGTCTAGAGGAACAGAGTTTACAGGCGATGGTCATGCAAGGACGTTATTGAAGGACTCCTACAATTTCCATAGGACGATCTGTCACTGCCGATCTAAGAAAGTCGCTCTCTCTTAAAACATTTGGATTGAAGGGACATATCCCTGTTTTTTCAAAGCCAGACCGAATATTTAGAGGTACGAGACGTTTATCGTGTGCGGTACCAACCAACTCAGCGATATTGTATATAATTGTAATGGGCGCTCCTGAATGATTCAGTAGCCAAGTCTCACATGCAGTATTATAATATGCCTTGAACGGCCCAAAGATAGCCACATCTAAGGGCTGGAGTTTGTTTGCTACAATGTGGGGGCAACGTCAAAATATGGACACCTGCTTCTCGAGCCTTCATGATTGTAAGCGACGGATTTTCTTTGGAACTGCTGCTATATTTGATAAAATGTTCTAATACTTGTTAAAAAAAAGTTCTGCTGTCATTCAGCCTAACGGGTAAGCTAGTCTCAAGGTAGCACGAGGTGCTTCATTAAGCATATCTTCTTTAAATAATTTACGTAGAAACACCATCACTGATGGACAGTATATGCCAAGGGCGGATATTGTACAACAGATGGTAACTAGTACACCATGTTCACCACTATTGCAGCTATTTACTTGTTTAATGCCTTTTTCAGTCACAACTTTTTTGGGGTCATGGACAGTTTTTGTGTTAGTCTCATCAATATTAAAAATACTTGAACTCTCAATTAAAATAGGATATTTGTTTAGGATGTTTTGAAGATTATCAAAAACCAGCTGAACGTTGTGTCGGTTGAAAGAAGTTAAGCGTTAAAATTATGAACATGGCTTGGAACCGATGTACAGTCCCCGAAGATTGGAGAATTGGCATAATACTACCAATCTTTAAGAAAGGAGACCCAAGTTCTTGTGAAAATTATAGAGGAATTAATCTACTTAGTATCGTCTCCAAAATATATGAAAGCATCCTAGAAAAGAAATTAAGACACATCGTTGAACCACATCTGAATGAAGTACAAAGTGGGTTTAGGAAGGGACACAGTACGCAAGACCATATATTTACGTTGAAACAAATAATTGAGAAAGCTAGAATAAAGAACACAGAAATATATATGGCTTTTCTAGATATTGAGAAAGCATTTGACAGAGTGTCCCAGGAAGCAGTTTGGAAAAGTCTGCAAAATAGATATATTGACCATCAACTAACAGGTGCTATCAAAAGTCTGTATCAAAATAACAATAGTTATGTACGTAACGATAACTTGGAATCAGAGATGTTTGCAATAAACGAGGATCTAAGACAAGGAGGTGTTATGAGCCCCACACTATTCATATTGATTATTGACGACATAATTAAGGAAACAAAAGCAAGTATACACAAAGTACATATCGGATATAGTAAACTACGACCGGTTGGTATAGCTGAGTGTGCATTCGCAGATGATCTCATGTTATGCTCTTCCAACGAAAGGGACCTCCAGAAAAATATAGATAGGTTAACATAGAAATTAACCAACAACTCATAGAACAAGTAGATGCATTCAAATACCTAGGGGTTACAATAGACAGAGAAGGTACCATGCAGAATGAAATAACAGAAAGAATAAGTAGTGCTTCAAAAGTGTACCATAATTTTGATAGAGCATTCGTAGGTAAACCAGAAATCAGCAGAAGAACCAAAATGACAGTTTAGAAGACAGTATTCCGACCAATCTTGATATATGGAAGCGAGAGCTGGGTTTTAACAAAGCAATTAAAAAGCAAGATACAAGCCATTGATATGAAATATCTAAGACGAGTCAAAGGAATAACACGACGAGACAAAATAAGAAATGAAGATGTTAGAGAAGAACTGGGCACAGAATCTGTACTACATGCTATTGAAACACAACAAATTAAATGGTTTGGTCATTTGTGCCGAATGAGCGACAACCGATCCGTTAAGCAAGTCTGGAAGGCTAAAGTGAAAAGGTTTAAAACCAGAGGCAGACCACGGAAAACCTGGGATGACGAAATAGGGTAGATTTTGAAAAGTAGGGATTGGAATGGTCAGAAGCTAAAAATAAGGCAAAAAACAAGAAATAATGGACAAAATTCGTGCACAGAATAGAATAAAAAAATTCTGTTTTCATTGGATTTGAGATGTAATGTCTGTAACCTGTATTTACCTTACACCTTAGGGTAGAGAGGTGTTTGATTATATATATATATATATATATATATATATATATATATATATATATATATATAATATATATATATATATATATATATATATATATATATATATTATATATATATATATATATTGATAAAGTTGTATTTTATTAATTTTATTTTTTATTTATAATAAATGTAATTTTTATAATATGTGGTTTGTTGTTTAATTTAATATACCTCGGCTAGCTCAATTATGTGTTCGTTCTAAGCAATCTGTCACTATGTGACGTCGACTCTGTAGTCTCCTGGTAGAGTTCAAAAAGAAATTAAACCAAAATTTACTTTAGACCTTTGATAAATTAACTCAAATGAAGCACGTTATTTATTAATATTGAACAAATTTAATATAAACAATAAAATTCGTCCGCAACTTCGGTTGCCTTTAAAAATTTACAAAAATAGGAATCGTTTAAGTCTTAACGTGGTTTAGTGACGTGACAATAAAAATGTATTACAAAATGTGGAGACTCTCTACAAGTACCTAAAAACTAAATAAATATTGCAACTTTATAAAGTGTTTAAATGAACTATAAAGAAAAAGAAAATGAACACTTTATTCCGCTGACTATTCAAATATAATCAAAATTTCAAATGATCCCCAAAATTATTGTCCAACCTCACTTTAAAACAGTTCTGATTTCTTTAAAGGAAACTAACTACTCAAAATTAATCGGTGAAACTGGAATATCAATCCTCTCTTCGGAAGTTAAGGTACGTACTATTCTATTTTTAATTTAATGATCATTAATAATTTCAATTTTTAAGGCCTATCGCAATTATCTTAATTCATGAATTTTAATTTTCTCAATTTAAATGACATTTCTATACTCCACTATAATTTATAAGTGAAATTGTTTCTCTTACTCTCTGGAACAAATTTCTGGATATCTCTGCTGTGAAAACTGTGGAAAAACTAAATTCTAATTAGACGAGTTAAAAAACACTCCCGACCTATTCCACAGTTTCAGGGCTCTCCTTCGTCCAAAAAAACCTCGTCGGCGTCCTCTCCAAAAACCAACTCCTCTTATTATCCGTTGCTAACAGCAACCAACGTTCTTTTTTTTCTGTCTTCTATTTAAATATTTTAAACCATAAAACTGTCCTGTTTGACATATTTGTCAAGCCACATTACTTTCTCATAATCACTTTAATGACATCTAATTTGGGAATTTATAAAAAAAAAATGTTTAGATATAAAACTTATTCTATTACAATACTAATTTATTCTTTTCATCTCCACATAATTGTAATTTCTTATTTAACAAAACCCCTATTAATTTAGCTCCCACAGACTGTCAAATAAACTGTCAAGCAATTTATTTTCTGACGTTTATTAAAATTTCTATGTTTAAATATTTTTTTAAAATTCTTCTTTTTTTTGTTCTTTTTAAGGTTTAGACGATTCACCTATACACTAGGCAACTATACTATTCAGAAATTATTAACACT